AATTTTTAGCATATAGTCCTCACCAGGGACTTTTGCCCTTTAAAAAAATGAATACTTTCATTTTTTTCTTTGCAATAAGCTTTAATTTATTCACGAGAAAAACGTTGACCAAAACGAAAAATTTTCCGCAGCTTTTCCAAAGCCCTATTTTCTTTAGTCCTTAGTAGGACTTATGCCAATGTTTTTTATGAGCTTTTCGAATATAATAATGTCATATTTCTAATTGGCATTAATGAGAAATTGGTAGACAAATAAAGATGTTTTTCCACATTTTCTTACAAAGTTTTCCATATTTAGGTCTCTTGCGACACTTATGCCAAAAAAATTTCGTGATAAAATCGATACTTCTCTTCAACTTACGAACATGGCATAAGTGAGAAATACGTCGCTGTACACATTATTTTTTTGAAAAGGAAAATTGAATTTTCACAAAGGTGTCCCGCAGCTCATCTTTTAAATTTAGTGACGGTGCCACATGCCATATAACCCTCATTTCCGGGTCGTGTAATCTCTCGTTTTGGTAATCAGAATTGGTCGCCTAGATCATGCGACTTAGCGTCGTTGGACCTTTTTCTTTGGGATTTTTTGAAGTCTACTGTTTATGTGAACAAGCCCACGCCTTGAAGGATTGAGCGCTGTAGTAATGCTGCATCCTTGTGCTGACTTAGATTGTAATATTTTCAAAAAATTATGGTTTCTTTAACAAGAAATTAACATGTACATTTTATGGTACATTTTAAACGTATCTGTGTCAGAGTAGGTCTTAAATTTAACGAGAAATAAATAAGGTATAAAGATGCACAGAGTGTCAAGTTTGAAAAAGTGAAGTTACGTAGCGTACGGACCAAACGGGACACCCTGTATGATTGAAAATAATTTTAAAATGTGAAAAAATTAATTTGGTGCAACTATTATTGTTACGCTGGGTTAGAAGATTAAACATTTCATCATTTATGAGTCTTTTTTAAAGCAGAAAGTTTCAGCTGTATTAATTTTATTAATTTTTTCTCAAAATGGAGAACTTTTTCATAACATCACACTTTTTCAGAATAACAACTTAATTTTAGTAGTTAGGTATGTATTTTGTTTATAAAATATATACAGGGTGATTTACAAATGGTGACCAAAAATGAAACCTCGTATTCTTTGATATTCGAATATAATACTTTTTAATATTACATAGTGGGCTGCGATAGCAACTTTGACATTCTGAGCAGTTAGAAGAAAGAATAAATAATGATTCAAGCAACAATAAATTTGAAACAAATTACATTTTCGTTATAGTTCTTCCGAAGTCAGTTGAACATGCATAAAAAAACGAGCAATCAAATTTAATGAGTTTCATGGGCGCCCTTAAAAAAGTTTTCTGCTAAAGGTAGAAAATTATAATAATTTGTATATAATGTGTAGAAAATTTCTATTATATGTTCATTTGACCAACATCATATTTTAATTATTTATGTCATCAAACAATTTTATTATATTAATGGCAAATTTCGTTTTGTTCCATTTCAAAAGGTCTCCAAAATGCCATGTTGTAATAATATTAGTAAATCAAATATCCCTCTTATTTTTCCCTTTCGCAATTGTAATATGAATGATTAATAGAAGGGTGCCTATAATAAATTAAAATTATCTAAATCACACCAAATTCCGCATTCCCGCACTGCACTGCTAGACGATTAGTCGACAACTGAATTTTGACAACGCAATGGACCAGAGAAACATTGCGCATTGCTCTTTGCCCGCACGCTCATTCTTCAACTGAGCGTATACATTTCTACCACCTGCACTTTTAGATCTGTATATGGGTATGGCTAAATAAATGTGGGAACAAGTTTTTCAAATATTTCAATGCCGAGTTGCTGCTTAGCGACCGAGCCTGGTACATACCTTGAAGATATTGGTTCTTCAATTGACTTCGGAAAAACTATACCTACTAAGAAGATGTCGGGCTTGTGTTCGTGGAAATGGAAGTATTTGTTGTTTCCGTAAAGCAGTGGCGTACTATTTTATTTGGAAAAATATGTCACCTATACCTTGTCTCTCCGCTACTGGAGCGTGAAAATTTTAGGAAAAACCCTCAGATTTCGGACAATGTTTACATACATACATGTGCCCAGTTTCAAATTATTTCCCTTACTGGTTTTTAAATTATTTCAAAAAATAAAACATATATATTTTTTTAACTTTAATACAATCATAGTCTTCGTGCCGTCGAGCAGTTAACTTGTCTGTGTGTATTGTGCCAGTTTTTGTGAAATAGCCAGCGACTATAAGTTTTTTCAAGTGTTTTATTTTAAAAATTAGCATTCCTATAGACTGCTAAATCATCAGCAAATTTGGGCATAGACTATAGTACTGGTC